GCATTTCGAATACCGGTGGCACCACTGCCGGCATCACAGCAACATGCAAGCCACCACAGGATGACGCGCTGGTTTGCTGAGTGAAGGCAGAAGGTCACAGAGGTTGACTGGGGGAACCCCAAAGGGGCAGTCTTGATAGGTTTTCTCAAGGAACACATCCTATCGCCATCAGCCGGAGGCTGGTGAGAGGGCAGGTGGATGGGTGCAGCCTCATCGTCTTGGATACCCACCACCAAGTTGATTTCAACTCACGGCCACCCCGTGTCGGTGTGGAACTGGGTGCTCTTCCAAAGAAGATGGTCAAAGCTTTCTTCCGAGGCACCTCTGGGTGGACGCAGAGCTCCAACATTGCCGTGAGCAGCCCAGCGCGTCAGCAGTTGGCATCCCTCGGTAGAAGGGCACCATGCTGGGTGTGTTAGTCCAGGAGGACTAGAGAAACAAATGCAGGGACACTCGTCTATATGGGAGAGAGAGCTTTCTATCAATTATGCATCAATAAAACATGCCAGCCAAGTCCATACGTTCGATATTTCCCCATAAGCCCCACGAGCCCATGAATTCCTTTTCAGACTCACACAGCACATGCAGTGATGCCGGACGCAGGGACATCACAGGCCGGTGGGTGGAAAGTCCTGTGGGTCCAGTGGCTCCAGGGCTCTGTCTGCCACCAGCTTGGCTCCATGTGGCTTGGCAACAGGAAGGTGTAGGAGAGAGAGAGTGTGTCCCGCCTCCAGAGAGGAAGAGAGGAAGTCCCAGAATCCTCGGGAGAAAGCCATGCCCAAAGGGGCTGGGACCTGACTGACAGGCTAGACTCCACCCCTCCATTCGTATTTATCAAGTTGACATGCAATTGTGTAACGACCACACTGCGTCAAGCGGAGGGGCAGTGGAAGAAGAGGAAGGCCCGCGGGGAGATGGATGGACACGGCGGCTGCATCGAGGGGCTCCGGCACAGCAGCAGTTGTGAGGACCACGCAGGACCAGGCAGCGGTCCCTTCCGTGGTTCACAGGGTCACTAAGGGTGAGGACCAGCTCCATCACACCCAACAATAGGGTTCCATCCGGGGGCAGAGGAAGGTAAGCCACCTGAAGACAACAGAGGGTCTTCAGGCCCAACACCGGTCTGAGGTGCCCAG